CCATCAGCAGCCAAGCCCTTGACCAAAGTGCCGCCAGAGTTCCTTCCAGAAAGGACAGTAAATGCAACTTAAGCCCTCAAAGAAAATAAAAACAGGAGAGGACACAAGAGAAATCAATTGTGCCACTGAGAAAATGGATAGCAAGTGTTAATTAATGATCTAAGACCTCTGAACCTGAAGTCAGCAATCGGTAAAAGCCAAGAAGCAACATACTGGTTGCACATCACCAAAGCCTCTCACGATCCAGGAAGTATAAATGAGGATGAAAGTCGCGTCTTTTCAGGAAGTAGTTAGGCTTGCTTCCCCGCTCTGGCAGAGAAGTAGAGGTTTGCTTCTCCAGAAAACATACAACAGAATTCTCCAGACTGAGATCAAGACTACCCTTCTGGAAAAGGAGTGGAGAGTATATTTAAATAGTAGAGTTGAGGCCTCCCTCCACTTCCCATAATACACGTGTGTTTATACCGTCATGAAAGAGATTGGAAGAGTTTTTTAAATAGGTCGATGACACAACATTTTAACAAAACACACAGATTCTCACTTTGGGAGTTCTCTGCAAGAGCCAGTTTCCCTCATAGTGATGCCGACAGGAGCAAGTGCCATCCAAGTGAGACACTGTCTCTTCCTTTTCAGCTTCAACCTCTGAGCAAGACAGGCAGTGGTGACTAGACATTCGAGTGAAATCCAGGATATGGAAATGAGTAGGAAAAAGCAGCTTGGAGAAAACAAGGTCATGCAGGAGAGGACACGTTTAGAAACACGTTACTGATAGTTTCATGGAGGTAGGAGTGACTATTGCACCCATGATAAAGAATAGGCATAGATGTATATCATTGGGGGGGGGGGGGAATAAGAGCTATTAGAAATTAAAATACGATCTCTAAAGTGTAAAATCCAAAGAAGAGATGGAAGGCGCATTTGCAGAAATCCCCCAGAAAATAGAGTATAGGAAATAAATGTAAAATAAAGAAAAACACAGGAAAGTAAAGGATAGGTCCAAGATGTGTAAAATCTGCAGAGAGTAAACAGACAAAATGAAAAGAAGGAAATTGCCAAAAATTGCAGTTCAAGAAACATTTCTTTCTTTTTAAAAAATCATTTTATTGGGTGCTCTTACATCTCTTATCACAATATATACATACATACATTGTGTCAAGCATATTTGTACATACGTTGCCATCATTTTCAAAACATTTTCTTTCTACTTGAGCCCTTGGTATCAGCTTCTCATATTTTTCCCTCCATCACCCACCCTCCCTCCTCCATGAACCCTTGATAATTTATATATTGTTATTATTATTTCATTTCTTACACTGACCGATGTCT